AAGATAGATTCGATATACAGTAAATTGACAATAATTAAATTTTTGTAATTTGTATCTATCGCTATTTTTTTTTTTTTAAATATTGATTTTAATATCTGCGTAAATTTGTAATAATTAACCATATCAGGTATATAATAATTGTTATATCTCTGGCGAATTCCGTTTAATAAAAAGATCGTCAGAAAAAAATCAGGACACGTCATGTCACGATTTTGTGTACTGGTCGGGGATACAGAATTTATGTGATAAGAATTTGTAAATTATACGTGCGGACCTGTGAGACCGTTAAGTCATGATAAAATTATTTTTCTAATGACGTATAGTTAAAATAGTGCAATATATGTTTACTAAATTCTAGATAACTGCACAATGTAGATAGTTGAATCTCGGAAATTTTACATTTTGATTGACTAAATGAAACCAAGGCAATGTCAAAATATCAAAATAAATTAGGATCTACTCTTTACCGCTATCGTTATTCTAAATTTGTACGTGCTGTCTAGAGATGCTGATGACTCCAATCGACTTTATTGATTAATCAGTTTTTAAAATAATAAATATACAAGTTGGGTCAAGCCGTTAGCATTCCTGGTGCTGACAATATTCGCTTTATGTAAATAATACACATATATATTTACAGGTTTTTCTTGAATCCAACCCATTCCACAATCTAAATTTATCTATATAGGTATATGTTTATTCACGGCCCCCTGCCTATCTAAATTTGTAGAACTAGGCGGTGATGAATTAATTACGATGCTAAAATAGTATCAATCCATTACAGTACCTAATATAGTGACATGCAATTAATTATTGTTGTGTCAAATTACTACAGTGCAAAGTATAGTAACTCACAAATTACCGTAGATTGAATCATATACAAAAAAAAAAAGATATAAGTCATCTTTTTTTTTAGTGCGAGAATTCATTAAATCAAATTCATACTAATAATATATTTTCTTTTTTTAAAAGTCATAATACAAGCATCAACTAATAAGCAAAAAGGAGAGAATGTTGTATCACAGAATGCATGGCCTACTGAAACCAAATTGTCGAGACAGGCCCGTATACACAAAAACAAAAAACTTAGACGTGATCAGAAACAAGCCAGATGCTTCACGAGTTGGATGTTGACATCCCTCTGCTAATCGATGATATCGTCTTCGATCCATCTCGGCATTGAATCCAATCTGCTACCTGAAAAATATCTGCTAATGATAATATTTATTATTTGAAAAGGGAGTGGACAAGTATTCCCCTCTGCTCTTCAGATCGGGTATTAACCAAAAAAAATAAGACTCGGTACGACATATAGGCCAGAGAATTGCTAATTGAAACTCTAATTAGAGAAGCAAAATCCTCTGACAGTAACTCTTTTGAGTTGCCCGAAATTCTGTCAAACTTTCTCTCTCTGATCTATACTGACATTATTAGAGAGACCGATGTCAGCATTGAGGGATCATTGCCTAATACCACTAATAAGCAATTGTGGGTTGCTTTCGGCTAGTGGCTAGGCTTAAAGGTGCAGGATGGTCTATTAAAAAGAAAGCACGTATGACAGCATCTTAGGTTGTTATGGAAAAAACTCCGGTACACTCATAATATTCAAAGTGATAGGGATTTTTAAGATTTTTTTGACACAGCTACCGCTTTTAATACTCGAAGAAAAAAGGCATGTCTGATCATATCAGCACATCATAATCCCCAATCAATAAGTGAATTAGTCCAATTCAAACATATAGCGAAACCAGAGTATATTATGGATCTAAGTGGCCGAATATTGGTTTACTTAGAGCAACTCGATGACTACAATGCCATTATACTTGCAACCAATGCTGTAAATAATTATTATTTCCATACGTTGAAGCATCTATCATATCGAAGCGACGAATTTTAGACCAATTTTATCAAACATTTCAGGGCTTATATCAGAAACAACTTGCTTCCTTTTACAAGCTCCAATACTGCAAGTACGTATAACATTGATCACCATGAATACGTCAACAAATTACTTCAAGGTCTCAAGGCATTATTGGACTATATCAACCGGTTCCTCCGAGACTATTATAGAGATTTATATATGAAATTGAGCAGGCTGTTATGGAGTCTATTTGCACTGAAGCCCTTTAGAGTTTTCTCAATGATAGCTATTAATTTTAATACCACTAGTGACTATTATTAGGATGAGCATGATGAGGCAAATAGTTTATGTACCTTAGTTGCACTAGAGCATATGAAGGAGGAGAGTTATGTTTTTCTCAGCTCCAAATGGTCATACATCTTAGACCAGGACAAATCGTAGTATTTGCCTCACGTTTATTACTTCATGATAATTTTTCAGTCACTAAAGGAATCTGGCATAGTGTCGTTTATTTCGTACATAGCACATTTTTCTACTATTTACAGGATTTTACTAAAGCTTATATTAAGGCTGGAATTAAGAAAGGTGCTAATAGACCAATGGTTTCTGAGCAAGATCTCAATAATGCTCAGGGTTTGAACCACCGGACCTATCTCTCCAAACCGAAAGCAAAACAAATACAGGTCCCTTCCGCTGTATCTAATCAGAGACAAGGATATATAGGTATAAATTGTTTTATGATTCTACATTATATATGGACAAAAAACATAGTTATTAATAATTGACGTTTCTCTAGATTTAGCACGTGCTCAACAAGGGTTAAAGCCGGAAGATCTGCTTCCAGATTTATAGTAGTTATGTTTCATGTGTGATATTTGTACGTGTGTTTTCTTTATTAAAATGCGCTTAAGAAGTCTTATTTCCTTATTGCTATTTTCTATTTACATTTTTGCACTGCATTACTTAATGTATTATTATAAGTAAATAACCAAAATCAATTGATACTACTATGCTTATGTGATGAATAAGTACCATGGTGAGATCGATTATCAAAAATTCGGAAAAATTATTGCCGAGACACAATTTGTATGTTGTACAAATATTTATGGAGGTAAACCCACCTCTTGAAAATGCAGAGCGCCGAACTACTGCATAATTAATGTCCTGATTATCCTTTTCTAGGCAATAATATATAGCTCAAAACTAAATATAACGAACTACATAGGAGATTAATTAATATGCATAGAGCATAGTTCCCACTTATATAAATCTCTTTTCCCATATTTTTTAACTATAAATTTTATTGCTCTGACCTGCCTAAACATTGCATCTCTTTTTCTTGTTGGATTGTTTTTGTGTTGATAAGATGACTTCTATAGCTACTTGATACGAGTTTGCTTCGGCAAGTTGTGTAATTGAACATGCGTACAATTTTCTTGCTTCAACAGAGCAGAGGGCTCAGTGCTTTGGCGATGGCAGTTCGTTTGTTCCGCAAAAATATACAATCTAGCTGTCTTTTAATAATATAGTCTTCTTAGAGATAGTTATGCAAAAAATTTCATTTCTATCACATTTTTTTTCGCAAGCTCGAAAAAGATATATAGTTTACATATTACATATATATTTAAAAATATATTGTTAACTAAATATATCTGGCTTCGAGCAAGTATTGCGAGAAGGCAGAGCGATAGAGCCTCTGACTATGTGTATTATGTATAGAGAAATAATATGACGCAGGGACTCACATTAAATGGTTTAGGATCTGCGTACTCCCTCCCTTGAAAGCATGTCATATATTTTTTCCATTTATTTTTTCTTTATATGCTTATAAAAACGGATGAACTATAGAATAGCATGTACTAATACACTCGATAATCACATTGTGATATCTGGTTCAAAATATGCTGTTGT